TCGCCATGCTGGTCAATGCGGGTTTGTGAATACGGACAGTATAGATGTGAAAGCATAGAAGTACAGTGCAGTGCAACAATGATATTTACAGAACTGCCCTCTGCGGATGACCACGCAGCACAGCAGCTACGACAACCAGGCATGCGTGGCGTTCGCCTATCCATGTTCAACCCCGCTGAGCTTCCGAGATCTGCCGATATCGGGCGCATTCAGGTTGACATGGTCATAAGCTGGAGACTCAATATTAAAATTGATTACGTAATCAAAATGTATGCAAATTACACGCGAACTTTGCATTTTGACTCACGGTTAACGAAACCATACAAATGAGAGAGCGATATAGTGGGGGGAAACAATAAAATACAAGATGGCAAGAACTAGGCAAAGAAAAATAAATCGAATCAAATACTCGAATGGTGAAAATGTATTGAAACGTTTAGTACGATGGGGGTTGGGGTTAATCATTACAACACCGAATGGATATGCATTACCACCTTAAAAAAATGTCTACTGCTGACATGCTCCTATAATCTGACTTTGGTTTCCTGGAGAATTGATCCCACAAGATTTTATACGAGCAAGTGTGTCTTGCCTGCCCAAAATAGTGCGCTGCTCATCTCACAATGCCCTGTTCTCAAAAAGAAACCTCACGGAGGTAATTATTGCTACTGACGTCGCACGCACAGAATCACCCTTCCCCGGTGTCTGCCATGTTAATGTTTCACCTGTCGAGAGAGCAAAATCATCACCCTGCAATGAATCAATGCACGAGGAGTCAAACACTAACCACTATTTGATTAAACTCGGCTTAATGACTTCTGGGTCAGCATTTCATTACTGCTAGAAAGAATGTAAATTTTAAAAACCATTCTAAAATCGCATGTGAAAATATATACCTGTGAATTAAGAGTTTGGCAAATGAACTAAATGAAGGTAATTTGTTTTTTTATATCCAGTGTCAATATACGCCTTGGAATGTTTGCTAAGTATGTAACTTGTTTATCACTGCCATGTGACATTAATTCATAACTTTGCTGCGAGCATGAATGGAAGACATTTATTTTTTAAATACTGAAATTAAAACCCAGCGGTAAACAATTCATAGCGCATTTGATTTGAAAGGAACGTCAGCACACAGACCCATGACAGATGGGTAATATTCTCACACGAGAACCAGCAACTTAAACGTAAAGCAATGCACGCAATCAGCAAATCAACTCGATACACGTTCTGACGCTAAGATTAAAATCTTACCAGATGCAATCTACTCGTGTCTAGACCATCTATTACACTACAGCTGGTATTGTGTGAAATGTGATAACGCCCACTAATCCATTGTCAAACAAGTGACGTTTACACACTGGAAATGACGAAGGCCGATGCAACGTCCTTTCAGTGCTTTCCAAAACCTTGAATTCGATCGTGAAATGCAACATACCTCAAGTAGTAGGTAGTACCTAAAGTAGAAAATGTTTCATTAGGTGAAAAGTGAGCAAAGCGAACGTAGTTGCAATTATACTTAGATAAATCATGAGCAGTGCACGGATCTGGGAACAAACACAAATAAGACTTCCTATCATCCGTTAAGGAAGAGAATATAGAATGTGGTCTTGGGCAAGACAAATCGCTAGAAGGGATGATGGCCAATAGACAAGCCTGCTGATGACATTGCAGCCAACCGTGCGGATGCATCGGATTGGAAGGCCATCGCAAACAAGGAGAGAGTGATGGATCGGCTCATGTGCTGGAGTTTGAGGGATTTTGGCATCAAAGGACCATTATGGATGGTGATGGTGTGCAGATGTCTTTATCTAGCGGTGGAGAGATCATGGATGATGGGCATATGCACATGTCTGAATTCATGTTGCAGAGTACGTGTAAGAATTACATTTCCTGTAGTGGTACTGCAACAGATGACATTTGTAGACATCTCAGACATATAAAGGAGTCAAGTCAAGCACAAACGAGTGTAAGGCATATTTCCCAGAAGTGCATGTTTTAAATGATAAAATGAATTAAATCAGAATATAGGAATCTGATGAGCTATGAAGCTCTTTTTCACAGATGGTCTGCAAAAGACACGAGCTTTCAATAGCCGCCTTACTGATCAGTTTAACATGTAGGCTAACTATCTGGAGATCTAAACCACTTGGTGAGAATTTAACAGCTGGTGTCAGACACAACTCTCTACCAAGCAGGGTGGAACCTTCACTCCTGGCCCAGAACTCCTGGTCGAGACGAGCACCTCCTTTGGTTCATGTGAAGTTGGGAAACGTTGGCTTGTGAATATTAGTACTGCATTATTAAATAGCACCATCACACGTGGCAACATAAGTCTTATAGCTGTAACCAGGAAGGGTAACTTTTGATGGATGGGACACATGCACTGGATTAAGGAGAACAGGTTACCACCAAGGCAGGCATTGGATTGGAGTGGTGTCCAGGGCACCAACTGGCAGAGCAGATATAAACGCAGAGGTGGTGTGTTTGGTTCTACCACAAGGTGATGGTGGTGGCAGCATGCGTATTGCCTCCAATAACTTATTTAGCTTATTCGGGGAAGTACCCACACAGCTCTGTAGAAACGAAGTCATAAGAAGTGTTTTTAATTAACAAACCAGACAACTGCTCACAGCCAGAAAAAAAGCACAAAGACATGCCATGGAACAGAGGAGGCCAACTCCGCGAGACAACGCATTACTCAAAGGGGCCGTCTCGATGGACAATGTGCCCTTCAAAGTGGCACAGACACTGCACCCACGGCGGAGTGGCCTCTGGATGAAGCAGCGTCCCCGTCCTCCCCCTCGCCATACACATTGGCAAGCAACACAGCACCCGCCGCTGTGGCAGCGTTCGCTCGCCGCTTGCCACACCGCCAACGCTCGGCTCTGAAAATTCGATTAAGCAGCGAGCTAGATGTGACAGTCACGGCGAGCACAATTGCCGCATTATTTGCGTCGCTGCTCAGTCGCGCCCTTTAACACAAGAGCCGCTCCTTGTGAGCTCGACTCTTTCCTCCCTCTGCTGCTCGCAAACTCGAGTCGTGTGTGTGTGCCGTCTGTGTGTGCGTCGGTCGGCACTGCGGCATAACGGGACGAACGGAACCCATCACCAAAAAATAAAATCGGCCAAAAAACTGAAAATTCCACACACGCGATGCAATGGGGTAGGAGAGGCGAATCCGTTTTGGTGGCGCAGCATACTAGTCTATCAAACGCTAATCCGATATGCTAATTCACGGGCCACTACTATTATTACAACAACTTGCCGCCCTACCACTGACACGAACTCTTCAAACAACGAGACAACAGCCACCGATTCGAGCCTTCTCAATGCCCCCCCCCCCCCCCACCACCTATAAACCAACTCACCAACCAGCCATGAGTACACATTGTCTTACTCCAACTAACCATGCAGCTACGAGCCCTTACACTGACTCTGACACTACTCGTAAACCTAACCAACTAGCCAAAGAGATGCAAGGGACTAAGAGCCCTCCCCAATGACCCCAACGCGATTCAACCAGACACACGCAATAGCCCACACACTGACCCCGACGAGAAGGCGGCATTACGGGGTTTCAGTTTTGGTGTTGACAGCGTCCTGGCTGGGAGGAGAACCCCCCAGCCACCCACCCCCATGACATCAGCTGTCTCGCACTTAGCCGTGCCATGGGATAGATATTCCCACGGCATGAATTACAATACAATCATAGATTTAGAAAGTGTATCGACGCGACTACGTCTCAATATGATATACGGCAGCAAATGTGTGTGTGTGTGTGGGGGGGGTGATCATTGCAAGTGAGAATCGAGGACACTTTCAAGAGATGCCTTGAGCCTGGCCAGTGAGTCCCATGAGATTATAAACCACCAACCGGCACCGACTTGGGTTGTGAGGTATGGTCCAACAAACACGCATGAGCAACACGGCGTGGTGAAGGCCTTCAAGCATCGGTGGAATGATAATATGGCTGTAGCAAACAGGAGTTAAGACTGCCCGAGGTGGTGTGTGCGACATTGATTTGTGACATTAGAGTGATGGCTCGATTGTCCCGCACGCCGCTAGGTGTTTGTAGAGTTGAAAGTGATAGAGGAAGTGGGGTGGACGTTGAGGCGGACGGATTGTCCGTTAGGAATGAGATGTTAGTTAGGGTTTCATAGGGTCGGTCATGGGCCTGGTCAGGGTCACGGGTGCGGGTCGGGGTCTCAGCGCAGTCATTGGTAGGGGTTGCCATACAGAACCATGGATAGGGGTTGCCATACAGAACCATGGATAGGGGTTTCCATACAGAACCATGGATAGGGGTTGACATACAGAACCATGGTTAGGGGTTGCCATACAGAACCATGGATAGGGGTTGACATACAGAACCATGGTTAGGGGTTGACATACAGAACCATGGTTAGGGGTTGCCATACAGAACCATGGATAGGGGTTGACATACAGAACCATGGTTAGGGGTTGCCATACAGAACCATGGATAGGGGTTGACATACAGAACCATGGTTAGGGGTTGCCATACAGAACCATGGATAGGGGTTGACATACAGAACCATGGTTAGGGGTTGCCATACAGAACCATGGATAGGGGTTGACATACAGAACCATGGATAGGGGTTGCCATACAGAACCATGGATAGGGGTTGCCATACAGAACCATGGTTAGGGGTTGCCATACAGAACCATGGATAGGGGTTGCCATACAGAACCATGGATAGGGGTTGCCATACAGAACCATGGATAGAAGGTGCCATACAGTCGTGGGTAGGAGTTTCCATACAGAGTCATGCGTTGCCATACAGAGTCATGGGTAGGGTCTGCCATACAGTCATGGGTAGGAGTTTCCATACAGAGTTATGGGTAGGGGTTGCCATAGAGTCGCGGGTAGGGTTTAGATCACGAGCGGTAGTGGTGAAGTTCAGGTGAAATGAGACGAGGCCATCAGGTCAGTCCACGGGGGGGGGAGAGGAGAGGAGGGGAGGGAGGTGCGCACTGACCGGCTTGCGTGGTGTCCGAGAGGTCGAAGTCGATGACGGTGGAGCGGGGGAACTCCTTGAGCTTCCTGCCGCTGAGGTTGAGCGCGGCGGAGAAGAAGGCGTCCTCGAGGGCGCGCTCCACGGTGCGGTGCAGGCCCTGCGACAGCGACGACTGCTGTTGTTGCTGCTGCTGTAGCTGCTGCTGCTGGTGGTGGTGATGGTGGAGCTGCTGCTGTTGTTGCGAGTGGTGGTGGTGGTGTTGTTGTTGCTGATGGTGGTGGTGGTGGCTGTGGTTGCCCTGTGGGGTGGCGTGAGGCGGGAGCTGGGCCGACATCGCTGCCGCCGCAGCCGCCATTTCGTCTCCTGCTCGGGGTTGGGCCGCGCCGCACTGCGCATGCGCGCGGCGCGGGCCCGCGGGCCCCGCTTAAAGCGGCAGAGGCCGGGTGGCTGACAGCGCCCTGGATAGCAGCAGCAGGGCGACGTTTCGGGTAGTGGCCCTCCTTCATAGCACAGTGGCCTTGCGTGGAAACATAAAATAGAGCGACGTTTCGGGTAGTGGCCCTCCTTCATAGCACAGTGGCCTTGCATGGAAACAAAATAGAGCGACGTTTCGGGTAGTGGCCCTCCTTCATAGCACAGTGGCCTTGCATGGAAACACAAAATAGAGCGACGTTTCGGGTAGTGGCCCTCCTTCATAGCACAGTGGCCTTGCATGGAAACACAAAATAGAGCGACGTTTCGGGTAGTGGCCCTCCTTCATAGCACAGTGGCCTTGCATGGAAACACAAAATAGAGCGACGTTTCGGGTAGTGGCCCTCCTTCATAGTACAGTGGCCTTGCATGGAAACAAATTGAGCGACGTTTCGGGTAGTGGCCCTTATTCATAGCATCGTGGCCTTGCAAGAAAATATAAAATAGAGCGACGTTTCGGGCAGTGGCCCTTCTTCATAGCATCGTGGCCTTGCAAGAAAATATAAAATAGAGCGACGTTTCGGGTAGTGGCCCTTCTTCATAGCATCGTGGCCTTGCAAGAAAATATAAAATAGAGCGATGTTTCGGGTAGTGGCCCTCCATAGCACTGTGGCCTTGCAGGAAAACACATACAATAGAGCGACGTTTTGGGGAATGGTCCTTCAGACGACGTTTCGGGGACCGACCCCTGTGTCACACGAACACATCATCAATAACGCTTGCCTGTTTACCAAAAAGGCTTTCGAGACCAGTTTCATCCATGGGAGTTTTTTTGGGTTATATGGCGTAAATATATAAATGTGTCGTTAAACCCACCACCACCCGACACAGCCAACTAATAAGGGTTGTCACGTAAACATAACGTGCCAATTCGTCACTAGTACAGCACACCGGTTGTGTGTTGGAGAGCCAAGCCACAACATTTACAATCTTGAGTACGACGTTTCGCAAGTAATTACAACTAGCTTCATCAGGCGACAGCCAGATTTGTGGAGAAATCCTGTTTCAACGCTGGCCTACAGCTCTACTGTTATACCAGTTATAGCCACAGAGCCGTAGTTATAAGTAGAAATCTATTATCACAGTTTTAGTCAGTTATAGCTACAGATCTACTGTTATAACTATACACAGCTACAGTTATAATTGATATGACCCCCATCCTGTTATAATGGTACTGCTTCTGTTACAACACACTATATCACTATCAGATCTGGTATGTTATAATCTAGTTTATAACATACCTATTCTTGGTTCTTTCGGTAAAGTCACATAGAAGGGAAACAATAAAATAATACAAATATAAAACAATAAAATTCTCACGACGTTTCGACTGCAACACAAGCAATCATCATCAGGTGTGAAAACCACAACAAGAAAATAAAAAAATGAATTTGAATGTTTTTTTTCAAATTTGAATGTTTTTTATTTTCTTGTGGTTTTCACACCTGATGATGATTGCTTGTGTTGCAGTCGAAACATCGTGAGAATTTTATTGTTTTATATTTTTTATTATTTTATTGTTTACATTCTACGTGACTTTACCGAAAGAACCAAGAATATGAATCCCTGCAGCCACGAAAGCTTTAAATCAAAATATAACATACCTGTTAACCCTTTATCAGTGCCCTACCTTATTACAGACCAACTCAGACCTTATTGGTCACCCCGTGCCCTTATACATCTCAACGTCCATCCTAAAAGTGCCATCACAAGGAAGACATACAAACAAATAGACACAACAAAAATTCTGCTCGTATTGAAACGGCTGTACGCCGTATGGACCTGAAAATGTAATTTCCCTGTACAGGACTACGGGGTTAAACCGTGTGGGCTGACAGCGATGCGATTAGAGCCCTAGTTATCACGGCAGTCCTGATAATAACACCGCTCCAGTTATAACGACAGTAACTTGTGTATGCAGCCCTTTAGTCAATCCACTGCTGGATGAGGCCCCCCGCCCCACTCCCTCCTGAGGCCGTACGGGAGGTGAAGGTTCCATGCCAATGTTCTTTGGTTCTTTCGGTAAAGTCACGTAGAATGAGAATAAAATAATAAATTGATAAAATAAAATAACACAATAATATTCTCACGACGTTTCGGCCACAACACAAGCGGCCTTCATCAGGTGAAGGGGACGAGACTGTCTGGAGGACAGACAGACGAGACTGTCTGGAGGACAGACAGACGAGACTGTCTGGAGGACAGACAGACAGTCCCCTTCACCTGATGAAGGCCGCTTGTGTTGTGGCCGAAACGTCGTGAGAATATTATTGTGTTATTTTATTTTATCAATTTATTATTTTATTCTCATTCTACGTGACTTTAACGAAAGAACCAAAGAAGATGAATCCTTGCAGTCACGAAAGCTTTAAATCGAAATTCCATGCTTCACCACGTTGGCCAGTGCGGGCTTTGAACATTGCTGCACTGCCCTCTGCTGCCTGCCACGAATGAACACAGTTGTGGTACATCATGGGGCCTCTTCTGCCAGTGCCAAAATATGATAATGGTTTTACCCTTTTTCTGGAAATAACGAAAGCTGTCTGGTGTGGACCAATCAGTTTCAAAGACAATGCCATATATTTTCAGAGTATGTTTTTTGTTTGCATTCTGACCACAAGTATTGTGGTTAACGCAGACATGATTCCTTATAAAAGGTTTCAGTTTGGTGTTTTAACATCTTAACACAGCTGTTTTGTTGCCAGAAAAAAAGGGGAAAACCTATTCTCACAGTTATGGTACTTTTTAAATGGGCTAGAAATTACAATTGGTCTCGGTGAGCGTGCTGTATCATTTATAAATGTCAGTTAAATCTGATCAGGTGGGCAGTAGGTCGACTCAGCCTCAAATGAGTACCTGGCGGGGTGTGTATACATCGATACCGGGGATACAAAGGCGGCCGGGCGGCGTGGTGTTGGCCACCCACCCCCAGCACTTGCCCCAACAGTCTGGTGATGCTATACGGGGGATCTTTGTCTTTGGTGGGCAGCAGAGGGCAGTGCCACCCCCCAGTGTTCCTGCGCTGCGTCTTCTTGGCCGACATACTTCACCAGTGTGAAGTATGGTCGCCAAGTAGCCCTCTTAAATGCGCACGGCGTGGAAAGGCGCTCATGTCGCTTACGTCTTTTTGATCGTGTCGTTCGTTGCTGGCCGTTTAACGTTTGTGGCCTTTTTGATCTGCGTTTGTGGAACATTGATAATATACTCATAATAAAAAATGTCTAACAAACACTTTGAATGCACTGCCCTTGTCCCTTTCCAAATGGCCGTGATGGCCCCTTGCTCGATTTGAAGAAACGTGGGACGAAGAATTATCGTTGTGTCTCTGCCAACGTTGGCAGTGATGCTCGTTTTGTTGGGCATTATGGGCAGCGCTCTGCAACTGGGTTGAATAGAACAACTTTGAGAAGAAACAAAACTCTTCTGCATAGCCGTCAACCCATACGGTATTCTTGTACGGGGAAATTTGAGTTTTCAGGTCAATACGGGCAACACATTTTTGGTTGTTGTCTATGTGTGTGTGTTTCCCCCTTGTGATGGGACTTTGTAGGATGAACGTTGAGATGTATAAGGGCACGGGGTGACCAATGAGGTCTGGATTGGTCTGTAATAAGTGAAACAATGCTTCTGGAAAGCGTTAACCGGTACAAAATCTCGATTTAAAGCTTTCGTGACTGCAATGATTCATCTTCTTTGGTTCTTTCGGTAAAGTCACGTAGAATGAGAATAAAATAATAAATTGATAAAATAAAATAACACAATAATATTCTCACGACGTTTCGGCCACAACACAAGCGGCCTTCATCAGGTGAAGGGAGCGAGACTGTCTGGTAGGACAGCGCTGGAGTGAGAGAGCCACGTTCAGATCACGGCTTTTTAAGCTGTGTGAGAAGAACAAAGAGCCTTGACGAAGGAATTAGCATAAAATTTAGCATTGAAATGGCTGAATGATTAGCTTGTGACTGGTCACAGAAATAGCTATGTTAAAAGTTAAAGCATACACATCCGCAGAGGCACCCATTGTTAAAAGGAATTAGCATAGAATTTAGCATTGAAATAGCTAAATTAAGGCATACACATCCGCAGAGGCACCCCTTGATAATGGGATTAGCATAGAATTTAGCATTGAAATGGCTGAGTGATTTGCTTGTAACTGCTACAGAAATAGTTACGTTGAAGTCAGAGCATACACATTCACCGAGGCACTTAGTACAAATCAAACAGGAGAATTTAGCATTTACACTAACCTCTGCTGTTGCAACTTCTCTCAATGCAAAACGAATTCTAGCTAGAACTAGCTTCGCTCTTATCTCGGAAAAAATCAGACTTACACGCACCGAACTCGATCAGTTAGACAAGACACTCTACAAATCACACTTAAAATTGACAGCAACAATGTCTACATCGGATTGGGAACATGTAGACAATATGACTACCTCTTCGGCTGCCACTATGTCGAACAAATGTAGGGACAATTTGATTTCCAAATTCAATCACCTCTCCAGCAAAAAATCGGATCCACACACCGAAAAGATAGACGTCAACAAAGTCGTAATTAATCGCAGTAACAGTTCCATTTCTGATGGTCTGAAATCCGTTTTAGCTAAAGGTCTAAACTTTGCTGTCACACCGAGACACTTACCGGTTAATGATATCATTGCCAATGTCGACGTTGCACTCAAGAGCTTGAGTCACATCTCTGCAGACGTAGCAAGATCTGAAATCGCTGCAACCCTCAAAAACGCTAAGTTGCCACCTAGCAACATCAGCAAAGACGAACGTTTTGAATTATCTCAATTAAAAAAGAGGGATGATATTGTCGTTCTCTCAGCCGACAAAGGCAATGCCACTGTCATCATGGACAAAACAGAATATAACAACAAAATTCAAGAACTACTCAACGATGGCAGCTATATAAAAATAAAAAGAGACCCCACCAACAGCCTGGTCACCAAAACGAACAAAATTATCTCTGATTCAACAGCATTAATTGATGAGAACAAACAGTTCTTGTTGAAACCCTCTGCTGCCAGACCACCAAGATTATATGGCCTTCCAAAGATACACAAAGAAGATACACCCCTTCGTCCCATCGTCTCTACTATCAGCTCCCCCACCTACAAACTGGCACGTTTTCTGGCTGATATACTGCGACCTTTCACTGGAAAAACCACCTCTGCGGTACTAAATTCTACTCACCTGGTATCGACAATCAAAGACATTTCCCTGTCCCCAAACGACCTGCTTGTCAGTTTTGATGTGGTGTCCTTGTTCACCAAAGTCCCGGTACCTGACACCATCGCTATCATTGAAGACCTGGTTCATCAAGGACTGCATACTGATGTACCCCCCCTGGTGAGACAT